CTAATCTCGCTTGGAAACTATTTTTAGATTGCTGCGACCTTCCTCTTCTAGGCAATATTGCTATGAAGGATATTTATTTTAAATCAGAGAAATTAAGAATAAACTAATAATAATACAAAAGAAAATCTTCAAGTTCAAAACGATAGTTCTGAAAAGAACTTTGACAAACATTATGCAAAGTGCGATTCCTAATACTAAAACTAAGTAACTTTGAAAATAAGGCAAAGCATTCGTTTGGTTTGGCGGGGTACCGACTACCGCCTTAATTATACTAATAATAGCTTTTTCTAAATAGTGTGGCGCAAAAATTATAATCGTATAGCTTATAATTAAATACCAATTACTTGCACACCAATTATTATGTTCCATACATAATAATAATAGAGCTCAAACCGGTCAATGACTGTATGTTTCTTAATTTTTGTTTCGTCATTTTTTGTTGGCGTGTTAAAATCAGACCTTGGTTTCACCATAACAAGGTATTGAACTATCACATTGTAATATTAAAAACACACGTACCGCGTTCGGTCACTCCTGCGCATGCGTGCTGCACTCGTTGATACATGAAGTTTTTTGTAGACTAATTCGTACTAGTGAATAGCAGTTACTGGGCAAATTTACAACTGAATGGGACTTCAATTGCGATTAGTAATTAGAAAGACGACGAGACGTAATTGTCAAATTAAATGCAAAGCTATAAATGCCACAGTAATATTCAGATAATTATACCTACCACCTATTCGTTTAAAGAAAATCGTCTCCGTTCTCGATATAAACACTACTCTGTTGTGATGTTTTGTTCGTCCATTTGACTTGTTTATATTGTTATTAAACAATTTGAAGAGATAATTTGTATTACTTGTAGTAAAATATAACAAATTTTGACCATTTTAAAAGCGACTAGTTGTGCCAGCGACTTCGTCCGCGTAAAGTTATTTTAACTTCAACAGTTTTCGCAGCGCACGGGGCGGAATCCCTGAAAGTTTATTAATGTTTTCCGTTTTCTCCACATTTTCCCCTTTTTCACCGCTCCTTTTGGTCGCAGCGTGATGTTTTATAGCTTAAAGCCTCCCTCGATAAATGCTCTAACCAACACAAAAAAAAAATCAGTTCGAACCAGTAGTTCCTGAGATTAGCGTGTTCCCACAAACAATTTCTGCAGCTTTTTAATATAAGTAAAGATGATTATTTGTAGCAGGAAAACACTGGTTGGTGTCTTAAACAGTTATGTGGTATTCCTACATTAAAAATGGAGACTTAGGATTTTCATAGATGAATTAGAAATCCGATTTTTGATAAAACTTATTTATATTGTGACATGTAGATAATATGTATATTGATGAGCAATTTGTAAAGAATGTCGATAGAATTGTTAGTATTAGTTCTTATTACTTGTAAATAAACTTAGGCCACGATAATGGAATTCTATGATAGCGATAAGACCGGCTGATAAGTCGCCTAAGGTTTTTCTGTCTCAAAAGGTAATTTTCTTTCAGAAATGCAAATTTAATTACTACATATTATAGTATGAAATCGTAGGTTTACAGGTAGAACTTTGTTTTCTTCTAATTGATACGCACTGTACCATAAAGAGAAACATTATTATATTGAAAAGCAAGGGGGGGGGGGGAGAATGTATATAAATCGGTGTAATACATAATTGTTTTTCGGTCTGTTCGGCCGACGTGAGCGAGAAGAAGTTCTCGACGTTTCCACATCACGAAGGAATGCATCGTCAGAAGATGTTGTTAGCTCCTCTATTGGTCAAAGAATTAATTCTTGGAATGCTGAACGATAATTACACAATTTTTAAATATAGTAGTCAACTGATTAATAAATGATATTAGTAACTAGGGCCCAAAGGTTCGCATGCTTCGCTTACGGGGGAGACTGAAGATAGAGAGTATACTTATAGTCAAAGTGAAATCTGCTACGCTAGCGCCACATCTTTAGAAGTATTTAATATTTGGAAGAACTAGCGGAGTGTTGGGGACATAAACTGTCTTTTTTGATTAAGTCCTTTCGTTTACTGATCCTTAATGTATTTTTATAAAACTATATCACTTTATTTCATTCGAGATATTATGCTGAATATGAAGGAAATTTTGCAATAATTACAAGAAAGCCTGCATATAATACATTTAATCATAAACTCATTACTCAAAGATTAGCTTATTGAAAGTGTCCTAGATTGCTAGATATATCAAAAGTCTAACTTTGCTGCAGATAGAAACTTTAATTAAAACCTGACAAACCATCTGGAAGAGTAGGCTACTATAGCGTTACTGTTTTACTGCGGTGACAGTACAATGCAATTTTCGCTATTATTGTCTATGTAGTACTCTCCGTTTTTTGTAAGGAAGGCCCGAGATTCGAGTTGTAGACAGGCATAATAAGTTGCAGCAGCCGAGCTCCCCCCGTGTCCACGGCTGCTGTAAAGCATCCGAAACGTACGTAAACAGGCCGTACTCCGAGTAACGTACTATATTTCGCGTGTTAAACTATGATATAAGTAAAAAAGTTACACGCGTGTAAGGACCATGCAAATATGCAAAATACTAAATATCCTAGTAAACGACATATCCATAGATTTATAAATGATCTAGTAGCGATACTTATCTAGCAATATTTGTTAAGAGTTATAAGAATCAACAAGCGGACATTTCTCTAGCGTGGCTTGACGGATTTTTCTCCTGTTAACGGTGGTTCGTGACGCGGGCGTAATTTCTACCACCCTATTAAAATCCAGATTTACGGAGGAAGTTATAAATTGATTAGAAACATGAACATTAGAACCCGGTGGGGTCAAACTCGCGACCCGTTGATTATTAGCAGTACATTGCTACCATTGCACCGATGGCCTGTCATAATTATTTGTAAGGACGCGTCATGGTTGCAAAATATCAATCTAACCAAATAATTAATCACCATACAAACAATAAACAACATAGGACATGGAATCACACACCCAAGATAAATAAGTACTTCATATAATACAGTTTAGTTATATAAAACAATGATAAGAAGCCTGAAATTTCTTATCGCCAGTCTTCTTTCTACGGGTTAGTGAGGTGTTGTGTTATAGTTGTATAAGGAGCAAAAGCAAATACAGATTATCATCCGTGATTATAGTGGCAGAGTATTCAAATCTGAACGTTCATTGGAATAAATATTCGCATATTCACTTTAAAATTATTTTAATATAGATAATTGAACAGTTGTTAGGCAATTTAGGAATTTAAAAGGTTTTTTTTACTTTACGTCTAATATGTAAGTAAATATTACGCAGCTAGAATTAGTACCAACATATGTGAATGACAAGTTTGTTTATTAGTATGTCCCCTTAATAAATACTCCTTATCGTCGTAGTATAATATACAGATCCTTTTTTGCGCTTTAATCTTTTAAACTACGCAACCGATTTTGGTGAGGTTTTAATAGATAGAGTGATTCAAGAGAAAGGTTTTTATATGCAATGTTCATAGTTTTTCTGTAGTGTATTTAGTATCAGCATTGCAGCCAAGCAAAGAAGGGAGGGTCGCTAGTTTTAAATAAATTCAACATTTAAACATTAAGCCGTTTAACTAATGTTTATCAAAGTTGTTGTCGATTTGTTTACGCAAAATTAATTTAACCTGTTATTCCTTGTTGTTACAATTTTAATTAACTTTTTTATTGCTGACAGCTCAAATGCATAGTTGTATACGTGACCTAGAGACTGAAATCTTCGTTATCTCATAGATAACCAAGACAAACCACGAAGATAGTCATGAAGGTAGTATTTTTATATCTGACATCAACATTTAAGAGGAGATAAGTGAAATAAGATGTTTTTTTTTTAAATCGCGTCAATAAGTGACTTAAGAATAATCTTTATTCTTTACAAGTAAATCAGGGTATAGAACTACCTATTAAGTCTCTTCAAAAACCAATCACTAGTTTTTACGTTAAAAAAGCGTACACGTAAATGACCATATTCCTTAATAAATCTACTTACAATCTGAACTAGTTATAGGCAGGTATAAAAATTCAAGTAAAGATGAACCTATATCACTCACACACAATATACAATAACGAATCTTGTTTTCTTTGAACTTTTTGTTTGAATCTAATGTGTATAATTTATTGCAATTCTAGATTTCTTTATGATCTCTCTAAATATTTTTTTTTAGACTCAATACACTTTGGTAGCAATAAATTATGAATGACGGATTAGGAAACGACTTGGTACGTATTAAACTTTATCAAGTAGAAATGTTACGTAAATAAAAAATGTGCAATCAAATACAGTATTTTCCTCTAAAAATATTCTTATCCTAAAACTGGATGATAATAATGACAGTTTGATACAACACCTGTACCAGATAATGGTTACTTCATATCAATTTACTACAGAATAAATAAAGCTCTAGCACAATTAAAATGGAACAGACCCGTTTATTTTAATTCATTCACATTCCCTTATCTGTTTTATCAGAAAATCTTATTGAGTCATTTAATATGCAAGTCAAACATACGACGAGGTGCAATATAAAATGGTGTTTAATTCCCTGATTATAAGGCCGATTTTATTTTTCATCTCAGATAGTTAAATGATAAGATTATTCTGTTTACTAAATGGCTAATGAAATTGGACAGTCGGCGATCTCCCTTGGACTTTAACTGTGCCGGATTTTAGAAAGATAAAGAATTTGAATTGGATTTTATTTGTGTGCACGCTATTGTGCTGTAAGTACCTATAAGCCTTACTTATCATATTAATTGAAGTCTTAAGAAATCTTATTAAACTAGGGAGATAATAGAAGACGTTTTATGCTAGGCCGATAGGTATCAATGTTTCTGTCGCATTCGTTTAATTTAATTTGTATATTTATTTCACTAACGTTCCACGTATAAAACTCTGCCACTTCCACGTTTAAAAAAATTGAATTAAGAATACTAAATTTAAAGGTAGAAATGGCTTAAAATCCGAACGAATGTAATTTACTTACAACGAAACCATGTCCGATCGTCTAGATTTTATTTCGAAGGAATACGACAAAAATGTTTTGTCAGAAGAGTCAAGAAGTGTTGGTTAGTTACATATTTATATTATAGTATTTAATAATTTTTATTCTTACAAAATGAATATCATGTTTTATTTAAAACAAAATATGTACTTTGAACAATTAATATTATCTTTATTAATATAATATCATGGAGTTTGCACTTTTGACTTCGTTCATGAGTGTTCACTAAACAGTTCTTTAAAACACAATAATTTCATGTCGATATGAATTTTGGACACTTCATATTTGAATTCTGAAAATTGAGGTTGTTTTCGACTGGATTCCAAGGCAAAACCCCTTGTGCAGGGCATTTAACAACTGAGCCATGATGGCGTTCAGTAGTTCATAATTATAATAATTTTTCCATTATACATGTATGATTAGTGTCGCAGATGTTATATAAAACCCCTCTTCCTTCTCAGAACCCTTCTCTGCACACAGCGGTGATGTTGGGTTTCATATATAAATTATAGTTATTATAATTGAATGTGACCTTGTGTAAACAGGGCGAATATAACCGCGTATGGAACGCCATGTCGTCCAACGTCCCATTTTTATAGTTTTTACTTATTCTTAAAAACTGTGCATGTACAGCTTTTTACACACTACTTACCTAGCGGTAGTTATTATTCGAACCTACGACACGGTAAAGAACTAGATTTCTTGTCCATATAGTGCAAAATAAACTCAAGTTGAAATCTGGACTAAGTATTATCTTGTTTTGTGTGATGATGAGCTATTACTGCTATTATTATTTTTTCAAATGTCCAAAGCTAATAGATCGACAGCACATCTTGTTTCGATGTTATATTGCTCGGTTATTTAAGCATCCACCTCCAACGCAATACTTGTCTGTTTCGTAAAAAAAAAATATTTTTGTTTCTTCGCAGGGCTTTTCACAATCCCGGAATATCCCGAACTGGAGGCGCGCGGCATGTGGTCGACAGTCTTGGATACCCTTCTGACCACACTACGATACTTAGCGCCGGCCACACTTCTTACTCTGTTCTGGACTCATCACACTTTCTTCTTTGACATCTTAAAATATATCGACTCAGCTTTCCGAACGGGTAAGTCCGACAAATCTTAGAACGTATTATCGAAGTAAAATTGATGTTTGTTGTCCTTCAGGATAGAAAATGTAAAAAAATGGATTTTATCATCTCGCAGCTTCACACTTTAACACGTAGTCAATATGTGAACTTCTTTTAATCCCCGGGTTAAATAGATTACGTATATAGTGAGTAATATGTACTATAAAGATTAAATGGTATTAAATCTACATAGATCATCAGCTGTCCATTATACATTCGGGATCTTTTTAACTAAGTATTTTAAAAACTATATTCCAGTTATCTTCTCAAGCGAAGACAAAAAGCAAGAGGTGATCCAATGGCTGTCCGAGGTCGGGCCGGTACGAGTGGAGGAACTAGAAACGGTGTGGCGTCACGGGTGGATAGTGTGTGGGGTGTTGGACGCAGTGCTCCCTGGCGCTTGCGCTGGTCATCCGCCCACAAGACTATCTTTAAAACATGCACAGTCGATAGCTGATCATTACCTGGGCGTTGAACCGGTAAGTAAGAAGTTAACACAGACATATTTTAAACCGAAACTTTTTATACTCTCTCATATTTTTCTAATTTTTAAGTTGTTAAGTTTACAATTTAAATTTCATCCATTATTGAAATGTGCAGTAAATACATAAATCATGAGATCATATTTAATGAAAATATATTGTTTACAGATGTTCACTCGACAAGAACTAGAAGCTAATGACGCATTGAGTAAACACGAAGAGTGGAAACTAATCAAATACTTAGACAAGGTTCGAGTTGCTATAACGAAATTATCACCTCCGCCAGCAGTGAAAGCAAAACCCGAACCTACACCAGTTTCAAATTCATCGCAATTTACCCTCGATTATATTGCAAGAGGTTCAGGGCTTACAGCGGCTCAAGTAAACAACAAAATGTTTATAAAAATATACCCGACCGCTCAACAGTCGCTGGACCCAGGTGAACTAACAATTCTAATACGTGGGCCAAAAAACATTTATGGCCAATGTACACTATCGCCTATATTGGGTAAAGCTCAAATGATTCGAGAAACCTTACTTGGTCTACAGGCGAAGCCGAATAATTACACGGCTAGTGCTCTTCCAGTAACACAAGGTACAACATATTTGCGAAATTATGGTAAAAACGACATGAACAAAACTTATTATATACCGAAAACGAAGTACGATATAGATATCGATGTCGAGAGAAAGACGGATCATGCGAAAATTGGGTACATTGTGCCCGTAGAAGGAAAGTACGAAATAACTATTACAAGTCGAGGAGAAAATATAGCGGGTTCACCGTTTGTGGTCACCGCGTCGAAAAATATTGTTGGAATTTTAGAAAAAGAGAGCTTTAGTTTGGAAGACGGAGAAGAGATAGATATTGTCGACGTAAAAACCGACCGTAAAGTTGTTCTTAGGATTGTAGATTTTGTTACAGAAAAGATGTTATTAAAAGAAAATGGTGCATTAGAAAAAAATTACGGATGATGAAGTGAGGAAGTTAATGGAATTAGATGGTATCGAAAGTAATACAAATGACACTGTAGAGTATGAGCCAATTACGGAGGATAAAATTGTGCCTATTTTGAATTCTAACAAATTTCATTCTGTTGCAACAAGAGTATTAAAGATGAATCGAGTATGTAAAGCTCTACACGCTGTTGAAAAAAGCAATAAACAGGAAAAATGTCCCATGTCTAATGCAGAAAAACACCAAAATGGTATTCCCGATATTGTCAATTCCACCTTTGAGAAAAATAATACATCACAAAGTTTTTATGAAAGAGAAAAAATTATAATTCCGGAGAGTATATCAGTTTCCTTGTTAATGGATAAGTGTTATATGACTAACTCAAACCAAAAAGTAACTACAGAGCAAAAAGAACAAACCGACATGACAGATGGAGAAAGACAAATATACAACATACATAACTTGGATACTTCGAAAATATTGCAAGATCCATTTGAAGATGATAACCTATCAATAGATACTTCTCAATCTAATAATAATCCATTTTTCAATGATGTGTTTGACTTAGATTTCGCAGAAAAAGAACTCAGGTCATTTATACCAAGTGAGTATGAGACACACAATTCCCAAAATGAAGAGTGTCACACTTTGACAAACCCATTTATAAATTTTGATGATGACGAACCCAAATCGGAGTTTCAGCTTGATAAATCTCTAGAAAATGAAGTCATGATCGATGCATTGCTAAAATTGGATGAATATAGTGAAGCAAGAACTGTGGTGAATGAAATTGAAAATATAAATCCGTTTTTTACAATCGAATCCTCTGCAACACTTTCGGAAAATTCGCCAGTAACAGATTTTATCATAGGGGCGCCAGTGTCGCTGCCTTCACTACTAGGGCATTCTATATCAGAGACGAACCTCGAAGCATCTATACATAAAAGTGAAGAGGTTTTTCATGACAAATATAATTTCCGAAAAGAAAACGATAGTGTATCGTTTTTATCATCGCAAGAAAGCTTAGAGCAGAGAGAAGATCCTCCGGCTATTTCCCCTTTTCATAGTTTGGGTTCTGACACCTACAATTTTCTAGGTCAAAGTAATTTACAACGTAGTAGAAATATTTCACCAAAAGATTTATGGGATTCCGCCTACGTTAGTATTGACGACAGCGCGAGTTCTTCCGATAATAACTACAACCACAGCGATCGCTGCGTGTCAGAAGCCTTTATAAAAAGTAGTTTCTCTACAAATAACGATTTAAGCGACGATGTACATAATATACATGACTCAAATTCAAACGAATCGGTAGGCGACAACTTTGTGCATGAAGATTTGAGAGGTCTTAAATGGGAATTTAAGCGCCAAGCTTTCACACCAATTATCGAGGAAAATGAGAAAAGCATACCTTATGCCACAGGCGAAAGTACCTCACAAAATGAAACTGATACAGTGTCACAAGTCTTTGCCGATCTTAACGAAATTTATGACGATATTTTCCCTAAGCCTGACGAGTCTATAGCATCAGTCACTGATGAAAGTACTCTACAAAACGTTGAAGAAGAGTATGTTATAGAGAATAATGAGATCCGCGTCGATTCTGCGTCTGAAACATTATCAGACGTGAAGAGAATTGCGGGGGAAGTAGAAGGAACGATTTCTGAGATTCAGGCAAGTGATACTGAATCAGTTTCAGCAAGTCAAAACCTTGAAGCGGAATATATCTTGGAAAAAAATATAACAAAAACGCAGTTCGGAGATTCAGTGTACTCAAATATTGTATTAGAAAAGAAAAAATATTGGGACGAAAAAATTCGACAAATCGAAGCAAAAAGTATCGAAGAATCAAAATTACAACAAAAACGTAAACGAATTTCCGCAAAACACAGACACAACGATTCTTTAAGCAAGCGAAAAGGTAAACAAATCGTTAAAAACTTCTTAAACTCAAGCTCATCATCCAAACAACCTCAAAAAAATGTAGCAGAAGAAATTGTGACCGAAACACGAGAATCAGAGAATGTTCCCGGCAACGTCAAACTAGTAGAAAAATGGAAGACATTTTGGGATAGTCGACTAGAAGAAGAATTAAACGATAAAGATAAAATAGTAAATAGTTGTCCACAATTACTAAATGTAATGAATTCTAATCAAAATATATTAGACAGTGATGAAGCAATTATAACGACAGATAAACTGGAAAACACGCCTCCTATCAAACATGAGCTTCCAGAGGAAGTTTTTAAAGCTTTTGAAACATGTCCGAAACGATTTTTTGGTACTTCACGAAAACATATTTTAAGTAAAATTGACAGTTTTCTTGGAAAACCAAAAGTGGTAAATACATATAAACCGGAAAGCGACAATATGAGCCATGAAAGTGGCTTAGTTTCTAGTCGAATTACATTATTCCACACAATTTCAAATAATGAAGAACTTCCTTGGAGAAGGAGAAAACAAATACCAAAACTATTTAACACGAGTGCTTTTGTAAATATCAACAATGGAAAAGAAACCAGTCATGATGTCGACACCTATAACTTTAGCCAAGATATATCTGACGTAAGTCAAAGCGATAAGACAAGTAATGATGATGTATGTAATAATTATGAAAATGTGCCACAGAAAATTAAATTTTCTTTAGACAACGATGATTTCAATATCAAAGAGAAGAAACTTGTATCGAATATTGAAAATAATCTCAACGATACAGACTCAACCTATAATGACGTAAATAATACTACGTTACTAACAAAACCGCCGCACGAAAACGATTACATTGATCAAAATCATGACATACATAACGAGTCAAATAAAAGTATGAAGTGCCGCAAGTTAAAGTCTTTTAGCAAGTCAGAAATGGACATTTTCAGCAAAATTGCATGTAATGACATAATAGATGATTTTGATAAGCATAAATCTGTTGAAGACTTACCTAAGATTAATGTGAAAAGTTTTATAACATTATACGAAGACGTAACAAAATTAACGCAATCGACATTGACTAAAACGGATTGTAAATTATTCGCTAGTCGCAAAAAATTGTACAACTCGAGTTCAAGTCCAGGTAAGTAAATAATGTTATTTAAATAATATAAACTCTATAATAAACAAATGTATATATGAATATATTTATTTACAGGAACTCCAAGTAAATCTTGTCAAAATCCGCCAGCTTCGAAACATTTTCTAGCTACCTGTTATCCAAAATTAAATCAGAAAAATGAAACGACATCTACAAAGGATATTATATCTTGTGATAGCGATATTGAAACTCGGTGCGCTTCTGAATTGAGTGAAAGAGAATCAAGTCCAGAGAGGGATAGAAAATATTTGAGCTTATCAGATATTGAATTAGAAATTATTGAAAAGAATTCAGATAATGAGACACTAGAGAAGAAGGCTGATGAAACTGCTAATATTGACTACAAAAGTCGATTCAAAATGGCAAAGCAGTATTTTCAGTCTCTAGAGGAATTAAGGGTAATTAAAAAGGATAGGAAACTGAGTGAATGTAAAATTATATTAAATAATGAATCAATCGAATCTCTGGAAAATTTAGAACAAGAGCAAAAAACCGTAAAGAGAACAAGGAGACCTAAATCAAAATCGATGCCATCATCTGAAATCGCCAAGATATGGAATCAAATGCAAGAAAAAGTAGACGATAAAGATAAGAAATTAGTGAAAATCTCTGAAAAGTTTCACGTCGAGGATTTATTTGAAGATGTTATGGAGGGAAGACTGAGTCGGCAAGGTAGTTTACGGGGTATACCTCACAAAAAAGCTGTTTTAGAAGCATTTAAATCTATGGAGAACCTTACAGATAGTAAATTCAATTCGTATGACATGGTATCACAAACGAGTGAAATTTCTCAAGAAAAGCAAAACAAAAATGCACAGAATTACTTGAGTGAGTACCCCTACTTACCAACAACTGATCCGTCCAACTTTCAACCGAGGTTTGATGCTAATGCGTCAGGTTTAATTTCTTACAACGAGCTTTTAAACTCTAGACCGAGAAGAAACAGCGTGCCAGATATCAGATTAAATCCGACCTTTACAGAAAATCTATGATGTATCTTTAAATGACAAATAATTAAGATGCTAGTGATATGAAAGCAAACGATTTGGTTTATGTGCATTATTACACGAAACGAATCATTTGCTTATCATGTACATTTTTTAAGTTTTTTCGAATACTAGCCGAATCGTGTGGCACTTTACTTTTAACAGTATTCAGTAGTACCTTATAGTTATATTTTATTTTACATGGAAAAGTAGCAGATTCAATATAAAAAATTGATAAAGTGAAGCATAGATTATTGAGTAAGAAGTTTTTACATAGAGTATACAATTTAAGAAAGAATTACAAATCAATGCTTAATCTACATTCAAATACTTAATTTAGAACTATCGCTAATATCTTTAAACTGAGCTAGGAAGCTAACAACGAGATTAGGAAAATTAGTTTTTTTGCAATATTATCTGTTATTATTTTACTTGTGACCTTGTTATGTTATTTTTATATTTAAGCTCATTGTACAATGTGTACAGCTTTTGAATCTTATCGTTAAGGGATGTGTAGTTATTTATTCATTATTTGTAATTAAATTTCTTGATGTTATTAATTTGGTTATATTTCTTTTTTGCCTACATATAAATGGATGGGGGATTGTTAAATTCAAAGATTAGTTACTCAATACATTATTTATGTACAAACAACTAAAATTCTTATTATAATATTTTTTCACCCGATTCATTCTACATGGCTTTACACTGCTCTAATATAATTAATTTAAAAATTAACGGTTTAATAACATTACATATGTATACATCGGTAAAAATCCGTATTCCCTTTGTGTCACTTGAGAGACATTTCAGAGTCAGATTTTAAAATCGATTTTATTTACATGCAAGCATTAGATTAGACGAGCAAAACTTTTTACTATTTTTACTCAGGATTCGAATCCAGTTCTTCTTGCACAATTTCGTTATCAGTGTTTCGTTCATTAAGTTGCAGAGGTTTTGTTGATTTACGAAACAAAATATTCAGAATTACTAAATATAAATAAAAGCACTGTCTGTAGTTTACGCGAGCACACATAAAAAAAATACTTTAACGGTTAAAAAACGATATATATCAGTTAAACTTATTTGGAAATTATGTGCGGTGCAGCAAAGCAGTGACCCCCGTGACCACGGCTGCTGCAAAGCATCCAAAACGTCGGGCCATAAACTATTTCAAATAAGTTTAACTTATATGGGATGTTGCGTTTTAAACCGTTTACGTGATTTCTTTACATAAAGAAAAGCAACCGATTACTTAATGTTTATCTGTACGTATGTGGAAGCAGTGTCAGCGCGTCGCCATTGTAACCAAGCTGCAACTTGGGGGTCGGAGCGGTCTCCTCTAGCCTCTAGCTGCTGGTAATAAGCTTCCCGAATAATACGGAACGCATCTACACTTCTGTACGGTAGTTTCGTTATTGGGTCTATGTACCGTGCTGGTCGCCTGTAAGAGTATAATCGAAATAGGTTGTTACAACAATAAAAAACACAAAAACAATTTGGACAAATTCTTTGACAGGAATTATATAACTTTAAAAATGAAATTTTAGGTTGTAACAAATCGTTTTTTTTTTTCATTATCACGGTAGCTCAATAAGAGCGCGGAACGTCATGGATGCCGGTTCAAATCCCGCCCGTGTCGAACAATTTTTTTAATGTAATATTTCTAATTTAGATACTCATGAGCTTGCTAAGTGGGAAAAAATCATATATTAAATTATTTCTAATCTCTCTAACATAGATATCCTTAATTTTGGATTTTTTGGCTATTTAAACAATTAATTATTTTGGCAAAGCAAGCAAAACTTAGCAATTGCCTTAACTTCTTACATAAAACTTATACTCATTAAAAATCTATTGTAAGCTACCGAGTCGTTTTTTTTTTTTCAATTTATTAATAGATTTTTTAATGCTATATATTATTATTGTATTATATATACCACTATCTAATATAGTGCCATCATGTGAAAAATATTAAAGTTTTCAAAGAACACTCACTTGGTGACGGCACATAGCATCTCTCGTTTCCTCTTGGGTCGACTTTGAGTGTAGCAACTATCGAATGCCTCATTCTTAATATCATTCTCGAACGACAGCAAGGTTCTCTCGTAGAATGATATGTTTTCTTTGAGTTTTTGCTTATTTTCTTTTCTATCAACAATGAATTTATATGATTTATTTTTTATTTAACATTTAATAATTTAAATACAACATTAAAAAAACATGCAACCTTTTTATGTTACCCTTTTCCTTTTATATGATCAACGAAGAAACACATACTTACTTAGAGACAACATCCACTTTTATTTCTTCATCTGGCCCGACTACTTCAATGTTCACTTTATAAGACTCCTTAGCCTCAATTTTTTCAGTTTCTGCTTGTGTCTGTGTAGTTTCTTTACAATCGGTTAAATCTTCTGAAGGTAGATCTGAAATATTGTCACCAATCATTAATAAAACTATTGGTTGGTATTTTTAGTATTAAAGTTTTAATAAAGAAATAAGAAGCAGAAATCAATTCAAGACTTTTAGTCTCTTTACCATCTTCATTTTTAATAAGATCACTAAGATTTAAGTCCATGGGTGTTAAGCTCGTTTTATCATCAGTTGTGACTTCCATAGGTACAGGGACCGCGAAAGAATGGTATCTGAAACATTATATAGTAATAATTATTAAATATTGAACAAGCTACTGCAATAATTACCAAGTATTGTATTTGTTTTGTAAAATAAACAAATAATTTGTGCTGTTAAGATTGATGACTTGATTGCTTCTATTAATAAAATAAACAATCGCCAATAAATGCACAACATTTCTTTTTATAATGTCAGACAAAAGAAATGTATACTCACTTTATTATAGGTCCTGTAATAGTTTTCTTTGTTGGTCTGACCTTTTTTCTTTCTAATTCACTTTGTTCAAATCTTTCTACAATAAAGAAATAAAAGTTATTTTTAAACATATAAATGTAACTATGATTCGTTTTGTTCTTATATTAAATTTAGTATGAAATATATTGTCTAAATAAAAAACAATGTTTGGGAAAAATGGAAAGCTGGTGGATTTAACAAAAATTTGACGTTACTTTATATAATTTTAGGAAATATCCTACCTAAGCTTTTAAGATTTTCCTTTTCAGTAATAAGAGCTTCTTCCAATAACTCTTCTTGTGTTAAGACCTTCTCTTCAACCTTCTTAGGTTTCTTTTTCTTCAGCTCAGATCTTATTTTGATTCTCTGCTGGGTCTCAGCGGATTTTACAGCTGTACTCTGTCTTATTTTTCTTTCTGAAATTAATTAAAATGCAAAACAAATAAGCATAAAAATCATGACATTTGTAAATTGTAGGTAACTATATGATTATCATTTTTATTATTGGGGTATGCTTTACACTATTATTTATGCTATTTAATATTTAATATGCTATATCAATTTTTTTTTGATGCAATTCAATAAAATGTATCATTACCTATAGATGTATTAACGGTTTGTTCAGCATTATCATTACTTTCTTTCGGCTTTGGTTCTTTAGCTTTCTTAACCACAACTTTTTTCTTTTCAACTGTGGTCTTTTTCTTTCTGTTTGGATCCTTAAAATAAAAATAGCTGAGTAATCATCTATATTATCTTAATAAGATACCACATACCACCAATGCAACTAAAGATAAATAACGCATTTTATATAATATTATAGATATTGCATAAAAAGTTAGAGATCCTAGGTTTTATTAAAACTGATCTTAATATTGAAACGGACACAGAAAACTGTATCTGCCTTATACCATAATATAATGGGATATTACTCATCATAATATTAACCTTTGATTATAATATTTTATATATGGCTTACTTTAAAAGTTAAAACTAAACTAAACTATGTACCTTATACACTTTTCCACTAATTTTTTTCTTTTCTTTAACATCAGTTTCTTGATCTGAAGTAGGCTCATCATTTTCATCAATATCAAAATCTGAGTCCACAACATCATCAACTTCTTTTTCTTCTCTTAAAGAATAAGTAGATTTTAAGTAGGAATAACATTTTACAACTTTCAGTATTTTAGGGTATTGAAGGTACTTAAATCATATACATACATGTAATCTTGGTCCTCTGCGGTTTCTAGAAACCCACCATAAGTGGTTTTATAGAAATCGTCTTCTTCCTCTTCATCCAAAAGCTTTGCCATACGATTACCAGCATTAGAACGGCGATCTCTTTGAGCCATTGCAAAGATAAATATCGCTCTTTTTTCTTAAATAGTTTATCAACAACAAAATAATTCAATGAGTATCATTCGTATTGTTTGATAAATTGATGGAAACAATAACACAAATACAGATTATATATGGCACAATACATGTTTGACAGCTGTCATTCTATGTATGACAATTAACATCAAAACTATAACTTTCACCACAAGAGTATAAAAGCAGTATAAAAAGTACTAGAATTATATAGAGTATAATAACATTATTCTTACTAATATTATAAATGCGAAAGTAACTCTGTCTGTCGTTACTCGTTCACCAAAATATACGGTTGAATGAAATTTGTAAAGATGTTAGATCCTGAAAAAGAACAATTTTTTGCCCCCTTTTGTGAAGGGGTGAAAGGGGGAGAGGATTTTTTGAACCTAGAACAATGCAACTTTCTTCTTTGGCTTTTTGGGAATGGGATGGATAGAGAGAAGAGGTGGGTGGTGGTGATACAAAGAGATGAAAAATCAAGTACGCCTCAGGATAGGTTGGAACTTTTTTGGAATTATAGGAAGGTAAACAATTGGATTGACTAAGGAGCGAATATAGAAGAAATGCAAAAACGGGGAAATTTTTCATTTCTTAGTTTCAGATGCGTACGCTGCGAAAACATTCGAATACCTAATTGTTAAAAAAATCCCTTTTAAATATCTAAAGTTTCGACGCTAAGCCTATTTTTAACAGCATTATACACTAATATTATAAAGAGGACAGAATGTATTTTTGTATGTAACGGATAAACTCAAAAAGTACTGGACCGATTTTAATAATTCTTTTTTTATTGGAAAGCTACTTTATCACAACATAGACTATAAGTACTTAGTACTAGATTGCGATAGAATTGTTTAGAAATTTATATTAAAAGCAACGGGAGGTGTAAAAAAATTAGCCATCAAATGTCTTTCATCGCATTTGCTGCGAAGGGTATTAAAGATAAGACAAAAAAATGTTTGACAATATTATAGAATATATAAATATCTACAAAAAACATTGCGAGACCATATGTCTAACTATTGTAGTTACGTTACTATAACTACTTTTTTACATTTTTATGCGTTCTTTTCAGAGAAATCACACTTTGAATAATATTTGTGATAAGTTCTTTTCAGAACTTATCCTTTTGAACTTGAATATTTTCTTTTGTATTATTATTATTTTATTCCTAATTTCTTTGATTATATCCTTCATAGCAATATGCCTAGAAGAAGAAGGTCGCAGCTATCTAAAAATAGTTTCCAAGCGAGATTAGCAAAAGTTAGTCTTCTTCTGAAAATGATCGTCAGGAAAGTATTAGAGTATACGCGTCCCATTTGTGAGCCAGAGAATCTAGCGTCGAACGTTGTGTTCGTCTTGCAGAAGAAAATGCAAGATCATCGCAGCTATAAGAACGAAAGTCAAGCGCCGAGCGTTCGCAGCGACTTGAAGGAAATAAGGAGAAGGAGCTAGGAATTCGCGAACGCCTACACGGGACACAGCGAGACAGACAACGGTCGTTAACAGCTAAGCCTCGCAATACATTTTTTTCTCATTCAGTGTTTTTTTTGGTCGTTTTAATAGGCATGCTTATAATTTAAATATATGTATACCTATATATGTCTAACCGTGCGAAGCTGGGACGTGTCGCTAGTAGTATATAATCATAATACAATCATAAATTGAGAAACTTAATATTTGGTTCCTTAATTTACACAAACAACCGATCAACTATTATTATTGTTTGTATTATAAAATCAAATACGTTTATTTGTATGCTTGTTACCACACTAATAATTACTAAAATTATTAATGTGTATGTTTGTTGAAAAAATATCGCCCAATTAAAGTAACATAATTTAAAAATCGAAAATTGAAAAAAATTTCGACTCGGGCAGGACTTGAAACGGCATCATCATCGATCCGTGCTGTTGCTCTACCAATTGAGCTACCGAGTACTACACCTCATCGTTTTTTTTTCAATTTTCAAATTATATAGTGCCTTCATGTGAAAAATATTATAGTTAGTATCATATTCAAGGCTTGCGTAAATATATATTACGTTTGTTTGTCTGTCCTTTAAATGTATCAATTGGAAACTGCCTCGCCACATGCCAAGATTCAGGGTTTGTATTCAGGTAGAAGATGTTACATACGAACGTCGAAGAAAGAGTTTGTTTGTTTGTATACGCTAATCTGAGGAACAACTGATTCGAATTGAACAATTATTTTTGTGTTAAAGCATTAGACTATTAGGAGCGAAGCAACAGCGGGAAATGTGGAAAAAACGGGGAAAATTGTACATCTTTTACGCTGCGAAAACGGTTCAAAATACCTAAACATATGTAAAGTAAAATGATTCTTCTTGAATTAGAAATACGTCTGCGACAGTATATGTCTATCTTTTAAGATTAATTTGCGGACGAAGTCGCAGGCGTAGCTGGTTACTAATATAGTGGTGGAAGTCATAATACCCGCCAAGCCAAGTTGTTGAAGCTTGGAGAAGAAGGTGTGGAAGAAAGGAGACTTGCGCTCAATTCTTGGACAAAAAAAGAGTAAGATTAATGGGAAAATATCGTCACGTCTCAGATTGTTTATTAATTTAATCTTGAAATTAAACAAATAATATTTTGTGCGATTTATTAAATTTTAACAGTTATAAGATTTTACCTCAGTCGTTATTAGTTGTTATTGAAAACAAAAAATCTATTTTATAATTCATACATTTCATGCAAACATAACCAGATCAAACTTACAACGACTTACTACACCTCCAGCCATTTTAATTTTGCTCTGACTTCACAATACTTTCATAAACACTATTAATATGTTAAAATTAATAGGTAACTATTATATTCCATGAAATTACTTTTTCTTTATTACCTTACATTTTTAAATTTTTCACTACTAACTTTCTTTGGGTAGGAGTGTCATTACCTAATTATTATAAATAAGACCGTAACAAATAGTATGTAACTACTGATTAATAACAAAAACGATTTTACATAATTAGATTTTTGTAAAGTAAAATATAATAAATCTTAAACAAATAAAAAGACGGATATGGAATGTAATTGGTGGGCGATTTGATTTGGCTATAGACAATAGACTAGTTAGACAGACATAATATTTTACATCTCATTGTGATACCGTTGTTTGCAAGTACGTTTTATTACATAACAATTAAAGTAATATTATGTAAATATTTACTGATAACTTATTAAAGAAGGTAATACTTTCCTGAATTTGATCATAGTTCAAATTCTTGGACGCTGCTTCTATGAATTATGTCGAAATGATAATAATGAAATCTATGTAGTCTGTGACTCAAAACTTTTTTAAATATAATTAACTCTGTAATAAAAGTTATGCTTTGCAATAAATTATTTTCCTAAAGAATAAGTAACAAAGGGCAGATTTTTTAATAGCTTTGCAAGTCGCACTTGTATGCACTAGTACTCCAAAATCGCGCTATCGCTATCTATAAAAAATCGGCCCTACATTTGTATAGACACATGGCAACATTAAACAACTGCATTTAAGGTCTGTGCTTAAGACTACACGAAGATAATAAATAAAATAATATGAAATATAGCAACACTAAGTATGAAACAACATAATATATAATATTGACCTTAACACATCGCATCTCACTATAATATCTTAATTCTTTAAATTCAGTATTATTTAAGATTAGTTTAACTACATATTTCTCTATAGACTTCACCTTACGCTACGAATTTTAAAGACTTACGTTACCAAATAAATGTAAATCATTTTAATAACTGTTACGTCACATAATTTTGTATATACGAAGTTATTTTACGTAAATATTATGCACTAATACATTGGTGGATAAAACAAACCGACGAGCCATTCGAAAAAGTGTTACAAGAGTATATTCGATACATTTAAATTCAAAACATGAACAATATAAATTATCATTTTAATATAACGTAGTAATAATCGATTACCATCAAAATTCATATGAATATTTGAGCAAACCATATTTCATATACCTGCTCAGTAATGTTGAGACACCAACAATAATAAAGGTTATTTTAATTCTTTATAATATGCTCTACCTATGCTTAATTACATTTAACATATAAAATAGTGAAATAGTGAGAGTTGTAGAGTAAAATTTTACTACAAGATTACAATATAATCTGTACAGGAATGCATAGTGCAAGAGTGAATAAACGCAATATCTACTAAACGTAAAGACACAAGTAAAATTGACTAATGAAGAATTCCCCGTGAGAACGCGATTATTTTAATTAATAGCATAAATAAACAATAAAATGGGCTTTTGTCATCTAATAGAAATCAATCAAAATAATTGATATTACTAGACGTAAAGTACTTATATTCTTTTCCTTGCAACCCTGTGTATTCTAAAATTTGTGATATAGTATATAGTGATGGTGTTTTTCAAATGGGATTATTACTACATTTCTTTAGTTGTAATTTATGAATTTGTAGGTAAGAAAAACCTAATAAACAAGGACAAACTATAAGAGATATTAGAGTGGAGCAGATTTTAGTTAACAAGTTCCCTTTTAAAAAACACCGTCAACGTATTTGTTATAATAGGATAATCTTACATTTAACTTCTGAAGTAAACATTCGCTACTCTAAAAGATTTTTTCTTTATCTTTACCTACTAAACTATATTATGTACATTGATCTAAAAGTCGTGTTTTTAAAGTCGATTAAAATACTAAAAAATCGTGTAATATGCCATTGTTGTGAATAGTGTGGCCTTTGGCACTGTTGCGTCAGCTACGTATAGGATGTTGCGTAGGGTAACAATATAATAATTATCTAATCGTTATCATTTCACATTAAACTTAACAACCTAATGAAAAAGTTATATAATTTTAGCTTATTTCAATGCGTGATATTTTAGACATTACGTTTTAAGTACCCATGTATAATAATTAATAAGTTAAAAATAATAACACTAAGCAAACATTGTTTTTGTCTTTTGTAATACCACAGAAAGATATCTATCACATAAGTCGTAAAATACAAAGAAATAACTTATTCGTGGTACTTTGTTCTTGTGATATAAGTTATCACAAAAAAAGAACGTATTATTGATCGTAGACGAAACAAAGATTTATTTGACATTTCAGTAATAATTTGAAGTAACGTGACATTTCGATAGATCGTTGATTGGCAGCGTTTTTTAAACATAGCCAGTGTTAAAAGTCTTGTATACCAATCGCTATCCTTTTGTTGCGTTGTAATCAAGACACTGAGCATAAAATTTTTAATTCGTTTCATTTATATGAAAGGGCGATCGATATTCCTTCAAGATAATAGGAGTTCAAGTTCAAATAGTCCACTTGGCGTGTATGCAGATCTTAAAATGCAACATGCAACACTTTGCAAGGTCGCAATTCTTGGACGCCTCAATGACACTTCATGTTACATCTCATACTCTGCACGCGAGAAATCCAATAACATCAAAGGTGATTCAACTTCTGCACTTTATAAATGTGATAAAAACTAGAACATTCTTTATATTATAAACGCATTCTGTCTTCTTGCAGACATCTTAACGGCATGTATAATATAATATAGTAGTCGAGTTAATGTTGTAAAATACATTACAAAAAATGTGGGTAGTTAAACAATAAGACCCCGATCATAAAATTCATATCAAATTATCATTGAAATTCATCTAAGAGACGAAAGAATTTATACTTTACAAAGGCTTCAGTAGAGTAGTGCATCACCTGTGACATTAGTAGCGTAACTCGTCCATTCACAAATAGCAGTCGGTCGGTCAATACACCCAGCAGACGGGAACCCACTGGGGGGTGGAGCGTAGTCGATTCAGCGCAGCCTCCAACTGCGCAAGAGTGTCGTCGATGTCGTTATTCACGATGGATAAATCAAAATAGTGCCCGTACGTGCGCCGGAGTTGTTCAGACTCGCGAACGAGGACTTCGAGCGAGCCGTCATACTGGAAAAATATTATTTACTGTTATGTAATTGTAATTGCAGTTAGATATTTTAAAATAAAGATATAAAATAGTTAATTATTAACAAAAGTATTCAGGTTTCGCATGAATGTATACTCTTTGATAGAAATTCGTTATTACAATAATTGAATGGGCAATATCAAGATAAATAAATAGATATAAGTAAATGGTATACGTATATCACGACTATCTTTTAATATTAATTTCTCGTTATGCATTTGCAAGTAACGTCACTAAATGGGTGGTAACTATCCATCTATTAAGTATGATAATATTTTGTAGTAAATTGGACAAAAAAAAATCACGTATGGACGTGAATAGTTCTATAATAAATAGGGCATCACTAATTTATTTTGTGTGGTTCTCTTATTGATGAAGAAAAGCGGAAAGAGATCGCATTCTAGCGATAGGGCCGATATGTTTGTGTGAAATCCCGTTTCCCCTCGTGGGGCATAGGGCGAACACATTTCTGTGTCCGTTTCACTGATCGGTTTTATTTATTGGGAAGTAGTTGATCAGACTTCTGTGCCCTGCCCGACCGAAACATTTAACTGTTTCCCCGGGATTCGAACCCGGGACCTCTCGCGCTTAACGCAATGCTAGGCAACACGGTTAACCATCTAACTAGAGAGGCGGTTCCGCGCTATATACGAGTAGGTTATTCATCTAGTTCGTATTTATTGTGTGAAAGTGTTTAAGTAAATAAAATGTGTACACTCACATCAGCGACATTGTTAAGCGGCGGTGCAGCAATGAACACGACGTACGGCGCGAACTCAGCGGTGCGAAGAATCTTCAGCGCTTGCGGTTCCACGTCTAAGATAGCGATACGTCTCTCTGAGTGGATACGGCGTATCGTTTCGAGCTTCGTCCCGTACATAGCGTCTTCGTGGGTGCCTGGAAATATTATGGAAAATATAAAGTAATTTCAAAAAACATCTCAATTTTTCGTTCTTTAGCCGTTCCCGCACTAATAGGCCTCCAGAATAGGCTTTATTCAACCAAGCTGACCTACTGAATCAAATACTAAGAGTGTTTTCTTTTCCTGGGGAAGGCGCGAGAAAATATTCAAGACACCTACTTCTACCCTCAATCCCGAACAGTTACTACTAGTTGCGGCAATCAAACATTACTTTGCTCTAAAAGTGCTTACCATATTCTAAGTATTCATTGGCGGCAATGTCAGCCATCATTTCGTCGTGTGTGACAAAGTAGTAATGTCTGCCGTTTTCTTCGTCTGGCCTCGGCGGACGCGTAGTATCTAAAATTAAATAATACGTCTGTAGCAAAAGTTTCATATGAAATACATGGATACTAATCTGGATTCCCCAAAACCCTCTCTTACCTACTAATAAAAAACAAATTTTTGATTAAACTAAACTATAAATCTATACTAATATATAAAGCTAAAAAGTTTGTTTGAATGCGTTTATCTCAGGAACTACAGGTTCGAATTGAAAAATTATTTTTGTTTTAGTTAAAACATTTATCGAGGAAGGCTATAGGCTATAAAATATCCCGCTGTGACTAATAGGAGCGAACGAGCAGCGGGAAATATGAAAAAAGCGAAAACGGTTCAAGATACCCAAAAAATAATTATAAAAGAATGATTCCTTTTTGATCTAAAAAAATTTTCGACACAATATATATCTATATCTTTGAAAATTAACTTGCAAGAACGACGGGTCGCGTCCGATGTCGATGTCGGATAGCAGTTTAAATTTATAAAGATGAAGAGGAGATATGCAAAACAAATTTGGATGCCCAAAAAAGCTATTCTACGCGGACGAAGGTTTTATGTGTCAGCTAGTTATGAAATATAATAATTCATAGTTGTTTTGGAAATGATAAAAACTATGAAGAACACTTTATTTCAAATTGACATCAAAAACTATCCATAACAATTTTTTTTAACTATCTTATACCCGTATTGTATAAAAATATATTTAAAGTGGATCCCAGCTTAGCCTAAAAAAGGTATTTTTATGGAATCAACCAAATCACTAGTTTACCTACTTTTTCGTTTTTAAATTCCATAGTTTGGTATTCTAAAAACTGATTGAGTTTTGATCTTATTGTGTGATTCACATGACGGTGTTTTGAAAAATAATATTTTTAATAAATAAACATATCAACTTTTATAAGCCTTTGCACTTACGTGGAATAGGATAGGCATACTGGTCAGGGTGACGCGCTATCAGAGTGTTCTTAATATGGCGCCGACCCACCCCGTGAGCGCCCAAGAGGACGATTGTTTTTCGTTGAAACGCTGAAAAAATAAATCTCACACTAGAGTATTATCAGAAAGAAATTGGCTAGGGAACCCTGAGAATTTCTTTTGTAACAAATTTTAAACTAAAATATGTTTAATATATCTTCGTTCGCCGAATACTCCATGCACGATAGCAAGAATGGATCCATCAAGTTGAAATGTATTCAATTTGAATTTTATAGCTTTCAAAATGGCGCTGTGAGGGAATCGTTGAAATTGGCTCAGTCGTTCTAAAATCTAGGATGATATGACGAATGATAGTGTAAATCGCACATTATCTTGTTTTTAAATTCGAAAATTAAAATACCGAGTTTAGTTAAAATATTACGGTGGACATTATAATAATGGCGACCTCTTTTTTAGGCAAAGGCAATGATATTTTTACGATAGAGAAGACAGACAAGCTTCCTTTAGTGGTAGGTGACATAGCCTAGCCATATAACATCTAAATGAGATGCGCTGTCGATCTATTATGGCTTTAAAAATATCGGTGGCTCTTCACCTGTAAACGAAGGTTGATGACCCGGACGATATTTCAATACACCTACTACCCATTTAATAAATACTGGAAAATAAAAAGCCTTTAACACTTACACGGTAGTTTAACGACCTCTTCATAAGTGACAACGTCTAACTGATCGAAGACAGCATTGTGCTTCGCTAGATACTTGTCCTTAGCTTGTTTCTTTTTACGTCCAAATATTGAACAATTGACTGTAACAAACATAATTTAAATAATGGGGGCTTAACACTAAGTAAATACATGCATCTCCAATATGTTAATTTGATAAGAAATATAACTGGATGAGTAGCTCCTTACTTGGGATTAGCATTGGTACACGGAATACAAGCTATGCTTGCTACTTAATAATATTTTGACTACATATGAAATGCGAGACGGATCGAAAAAAGTATTGGGTCGGAACTAAAATGTGGGGTTTATTATTTAGAATATATTATATATATTATATATGTTGTTTTGTTGTAGTTTAGTTGCTGTATGTATTTTATAACAATTAACACCCAAAATATGCACATCTTGCACGTGTTAGTTAAACTAGGTACATTTTCAAGAGTTGCTTTGTTTAAACACGCTAATCTTAGGAACTACTAGTACGAATTAAAAAAACAATGAATCGGGTAGACTATTTATCAAGGAGGCTTAGGTTAGTTAAATAGTATACATCTAAATTGTATAGGCGTAAATATTATTCTTGACTAGAATCGTTGGTAGCCGAATCCATAGACAAATCATGGAACAAAGTCATAACAAAGCTGCTATCGAGAACGAAAATATATTTGAGTTGGCTTTAAGCCCAACTGGGTGGAGAGGTCAGAGTGTTGGGACTAGAGAATGTAATATCGTATTGTGTAGAGTTTAGATACTTATTCATCACTGTAGGGAATGTATTTCATATGAAACATAAGCTTATAAAAAACATTGGAAGTTAAAAACTTCATTATTTTTCACATTAGATAGAAAAATCTTACGACACGGGCAGGACTACTGTTCCTCTAACCAATTAAGCTGCCGTGTTAATGGTTAGAGCAACAACATGGAACGCTCGACGCCGGTTCAAGTCCTGCCGCTGTCCTAAATTAAAAAAGTCTAGAATCAAGTTTAATTATCGGAAACGTGTTTAATTAATCAGTCACGGACAAAATTAAATTTAATCTTAATTTAATGATAGAGGAGCACAGACAAGCATAGGGCTCACTTGGTGATTGATGCACAGTAGGCCCCACCAAAAAAAAAAAAAAAAAAAAAAGGGTAACCACCCATTTTTGGTTTTGGAAACCCCCAGATTGACACCGAAACGCGATTAACGTTCGCGGCTTTTTCATCTGTGCACGGTGGTTCGTGACCCCAACGAAATTTCGATATTCCTTCACTCCATTAAATATCCAGATTTCCAGACGAAGTCCAACATGTTTCAGAAAAATTATAAATTGATTAGAAAATGTTGGACCCGGTGGGTATAAAGCCCGTCCGTTGCTACCATTACACCGACGAGCCCGTCCAATTAGTAATAAGAGAATTAAAGTTGTATACTTTAGCGAGAATTACGAATACCAGATATTCGTCTGAATGGCGCTTCCTCGATACAGTATTGCCGGTCGTGGATAAATAATTCGCATCTGTCGAGATGCTTCACGCCTCTCGTTGCAGTGTTTGCAGTGTCGTAAATAGCACAGTGCATTATAAATGTACTCTACAAACTGAAGTGTATATAGTTCTCTCAGTTATATTCATTGTTTAACCGCACTCTAGAACATACATTTTGTTCAGATCGTCCATAGATAATGTCCGGCAATCAAATTATGTCAAACCTTAAATAAATACTGGTCTGAAGTTTACGCGACTGGGACACATTCAAATAAAACAGTTTAACGGTTTGAAACACGATAAATATAAGTTACAACTTAGTTAAAAATTATTTTGACTTCGGCCCGACGTTTCGGATGCTTTGCGGCAGCCCTGTTCACGGGGACAGAAAATAATTTTCGAATAAGTTTAACTAATCTATCACGCGTTTTAAACCGTTAAAGTGTTTTATTTAAAAACCTTAATGCAGTGTCGTTAATTTTTAAAATCACAGTGCTTTTAAAAATTAGGGATTTGAGTATAAAATTGCCCTAAATACTTTTGTGTACTCAATACATGTATGCATGTGACAGATTATTTGAATTATTTTGTATATATATATAATTAAACGTAGTATAAATCATTGTTTTTGTGATGTATAACTGCGGGTAGTTTACAAAATGTTGAAAAGTAATGTTCGTGTTATTCGATGACGTCAGGCTAACCTGGTCGGTTGTTTGTGAGTTGTATAAATGGGGTGCGCTGAAGTGTACGCGAGCAGTGGCTCTGGAGCGATCGCACGGTAAACGCTGGTGGAACGTTGTTGGAACGTTGTTGGAACGTTAGAGGTTTCAGAATATGTTTAAAATCGTATATCTGTATTAATACCTATAATGCGAACATTGGTTGAACATTGGATGGTTCAGGTATGATGTACATTATTATATTGTAATAAATAGGTTGTGATATATTATGTACTTTTTTATTATATTGAATTGGCTCAATATATGTCAATTAAGTATCGTAACCTTAATATATAGATAAATATCTTCAAATCATAAATGGGGTCCATTATTTTATTTAGACGTTTTTATACATAAATGTGTTGCAGTGATTTTAAAAACGTTACTGGAATGTAACATCTTGTTTAACGAAATAGAATAGCTTTTGACAGTATATCTTCTTGTTATTTACATGTTATCCTTAAAATCTCATATAAACCAATGCCTATAATCATATATTAGGTCTCTTTTATAAAAAAATCTAACACATGCATGTACAATATGACAAAGAAAAAATAAATAGGTTGCCTCCCTCTCGCATATCACTATCCAATACGAATAATATATTACCTGTATTCTCACATCCGTCGGTGTGAGACACGCATCCGTCAGCTCCTAGCAGCACAACATTACAACACAATCATGCAAACAACTTGGCATGGGTACAGAATGGCAACTACTGTAATGTGTCGAGAAATGTTCCCTTCAAGCAATTTATTAGCAAATAAACAGATGGGTAAGAGCTCCACTGAAATGATGATACATTGGAAAAATACACGACATCACAAACGAAAGGGGGGTTGAAACATTTCTCGAGAAAACGGAGGGCATTTGTACCTATATTCCAGACTATTCAACCATTAATTGTTTATAGCCTTCTACCAAATTTGCTCACGCAACTATTATAACTTAGTAACTCGTTACGTCACTTAGCAACACTGGTATCGATACCATGCATTCGGGTTAGATAACTCAATCACAAAATTATACCATAATATCGTAAATGGGACTGGATAGATACATATAAAGATATAAAATAAATTTTACATACCGACTGCAGATATCCAAAGATGTTTGAAAGAAAAACAATATGGTTAGGTCGCCAATGTAATGTCAACAGGCAAAATATGTGTCAATAAAGATGTAACGGAAAAATAAATAAGCTCGTGAGTTTACTTTTAAATCAAACTATATTAGTTGTTATTAGAAAAAATCTACAGCTCTCTAAAGCAACACCAATGTTTTATTAATTCATCTAAATAAACTACACAAAAATCTAAACACCGATTGTTCTATGACATTTTTTCGATATTAAACATACACTATCCAAGCTAATAGTAATTATTGAATTTACGATGCGCTCAGTTTTATATATAGTTCATTTCTTCAACTTGACAATGTAAATAATATTAAAACTGTGTTCAATGCAGGTTTTGTGCCTCATACATATTTGTTGGCAAGACCAAACATTTCGCTCTACGCAAAAGCAGGTCACTCATACAGGTCGAAAGAAAATAAGGTCTCCTCGTTCAAAAGAAAACAGCTGATCAGCTACGAAGTCAGAGGCACGACTAAAATTTTTCTCATTTCACCGAAATTGTGATACAGTAGATTTAATTTATATTAGCATAATCCAGTCTGAATATAAAGCACATAAAACAAATCTATTTAAATAGCTCAATCTCATTGGGACCGCACGTCAATGAGATCTAAATACGCAATTATGTGGTTGGCCGTATTGCGATTTTACCACAGAAACACCAACTCAATTTAGAGAAAATATGGTATCATTTATATTCGGAATACAGTTGAAAACACAGAAAGCAATGTAATGTATTCCTAGCCTTTACATCTAGCTTCATTCTACTGCTAACCAGTCATCAGTAAAGTCGAATATGCAACAAACCTTGGTCTGTATTAGACTTTTCGGCAGCGGCGCATGCAGCACGCCACTCTTGTAACTCGGGACTCGGTATAAGACCGGCCGATCCTCCCGATGCGTCTTTACGAGCTTGCCACCAATGTGAATCATCCTTGCTAATAATCTGAAAAAAAGTCTTTTTTAGAATACAACCTCCTTGTATACAACCGAAAAAGATTTTATTTAGTTTAGGTTGAAAAAGTTGGACATCTTTATCAATATTATTAAAAACAAATTTAGATCATATTGCATCACGGCTTTCGGATTAAATCACGCTTAAATATCTTATGACTGAGCAGCAAACAGTCAGAACTTTCAAACTTCACATCGCTCAATGTAATTAGTTTAAAGTTTAAATTAAATCGTTACGTTGTATAATTAGAGTGAAAATCGCTACGATGCATACGTTAGACAAAGATCCTTTAATCTAAGTAATATTCTTATCGATAATAATAATGCTTCATTCACATTCATTTTATAGTCACCTGCAAGATATCTCCGGTATTAAAGGCTATGCCCGCTTGAGCGCACGGTATAAGTTCATCTTCCAAAGGGTCGTAATCAAATTGAGCCCGGACGAATATCTGTAAAAAAATCAAAACAAACAAAACATCTAAGACAAATTTTTGATTTAACAGTGCATTGATTTGTTGCCCGTCTTACTAATCTCTTGGAAAGTTGAAATATAGACAAGGGAACACATTACATGGGTACAACACTACTTTACACACTGTTACAGTATAACGGACGTTCGACTATGCAGGGGTGACTAATTATAGATGGTTTTACAGGATAGCAGGAGTTGATGAGTGAATGAATGAATGAATGAAGCCATGGCAAAGAGCAACAAGCGCACAGAAACGGTAGGAACATCGGGGACGCGCGGCCATGCCCGTATGACATTATATACAACAAGTACAACATAAAAATATGTACATAATATAAACCAACATAAATCACCAACGTAACAACATAATTAGCAACGACCGTAATATACACTACTTACTAGGACGGGCGAAGGCTTTATCCGGAATAGCTAGTTAGAAACAAAAACAGATAGTTTTAGTAAACCAATCAGATTTAGGACAAGCTTCTAATGGAAATTTATGTGCGCTTGTCGACTTATAACTATTGTCAAAGCGCGCGTTAGTCACACTATCTAGGTATTTTAATAAGAAAACGAATCACACAGTTTTGCATCAATCTACTGGAAAACAAACATCGCCAGAACTGTTTTTGTTATTGAAACAAGAGCAGCATTTCAATCAGCATTCCTGGTACAGCCCAAAAGGTTTCAACGGCAAACTAATATTTAGCGAATAAACATTTATATTACCTCACATGGTGGAGGAGCAGATCGATACGATGGAACTATCTTGAATGTCACCGAACCTCTCGCTTCACGCTGTAACACAAATCACTGTTATAAAACTAAAACTAATTACCGTCACCGTAGAGATGACTATACTTTAATAAAGCAATAGAATCGTTTGTCTGATGTCCAACAATAATACTAAGTATATGACAATACTAGTTACATAATAAAAAGGAAATATCATTTATGATTTATTTAATATATGTAAATTAAAATAAGGTGAATAAAAGTTTTCCAGGCCATACAGCGCCTGTAAAAGGACATGAGATGGTACCTAAAGCCATTATTCACATACAAAAGAAAATACAATCAATTTATAAAAGAAGGTGAGGTATTTATAAAATCGCAAATTCGTAGAGGACATTAAGATGATGCTCTAGAAACATCTCGAATTAAACGAGCCACAAGATGAGTACCAGCATTCTTTGAAGTTGCGCGACTGATTGGTTGGCGACCGGAGTGCCGTTGATCTCTTTGATCTCGTCGCCGACGTGCAGTGTGGCCTGTCGGTGGATCATCCCGCCGTGCATAATGCGAGCGACGATGCAGCGGCCGTCGTCCGCCAATTTCAGTGTTATGCCCTGGTATCGGAAGCATTCGAAGGTTATAAGAGAGTTTTCCGAATGTTTCTTATTACTTTTCACTGTCCAAAAATGTTTTTATTGCTACAATAACATTAATTTATTTCAATAAAACACTTTAACGGTTCAAAACGCGATGTATATTAGTTAAACTTATTTGGAAATTATTAAACTACGGCCCGACGTATCGCCTTTTGAACCGGTAGTGTTTTATTTAAATGTATACTACTCGCAAAAACTATAAGTATAATATAGTAAATAGTAATTTATCTTCATAAATGGTTGCTTAACATATTTTTATATTGTTAAATGTGTTAAATTCTGGACCGTTTTTCCAAGCAACGATTATTTTTGGTCCGCTACAAGTACCTACATTTAGTTACAACTTTAGAACGTGCTATCCAATCTTCGCAATTCCGAATTAATATTCCATTTCAAATGTAAGAATTTTAAACACTTCAAAAGCAGGAAAGTTAAAATTTATGCAACTTTACATAACCATTTTTATATTTCGTTGGCTTAGCGCAGGTTTGACGTAGGGTTATATTTTTTTCCTTTGTGTGAGCCTGAACTAAATTTAATTGCGTGTAGCAATTAGATTAAATTTAACATTCACTTTATAAAGCAAAGGAACTTTACCTTGACCGGGCTGTATGCATAACTAAGTAGAAGTCTTTTATAGTACACAACAGTAACTTTGCATATGAAAATGAAAAACATAGTCTGACCATCTTTGCCAGTCTCAAATTCATAACCATTTTTACTACGTTAATCCGGCTAACATAAGATATCTTGCAATAGTGAACTATATGAAACACTATATACAAAGTGAAACGTTTAATGAAACTGTCTGTTTCAACAGATTACGCTACTGTTGTTTATTTTTTAGCTTCATTTTAACAGCGAAGTATTTTTCAGTGCTGAATACTGTCGTCTCAACGAACACTTTTATTTTTTCACAAACATATTTATACTTTGATTAAAATTTCGTTAATTATACAATGACAATATTTTACTTATTAAATTACATATTTAGGCAAAGAAATTTAAAGATGCTTTGACTAAAATATATCAAATATGAACTTCATTTAGCGATCAATAAATTGCTTTTATTGGTTCCTACTGGGCTATAACGGCAATCACGTGAATCGTTTGGTTTGAAGTGTATCGTATGGAGGCGGTATTATTCTGGAGAGAGTGCATAGTATAAACTTTAATTGATATATTTTGCCAACATAGGTTTATGTAGAGCACTTTGCTTTGTAAGGTATGTTCAGTGCAGAGCCGCTGAAGGAACGTCGAGAAGTTTATAAACATTTTGCATAATCTCTCTAATTAATTAAGCATACGGAAAGATCGCGTTGAATGTGCAACTGAATTTCAGTCACGTAAAAATTACAGTTAAAACATTGTATAATGGTGCGTTCTCTACGTGAGCTACATGAAGTGACCCCTACCATTGGTTCATCGGTATTCTTCTGGAACTGTACAAGTCGCACTCTAGTCACGTTTTCGAATTCCGGCTCCGTATCGTCCTCCTCCTCGGCGGCCGCTTGAGTTGCGCGACCGTTGACAGGTGGTGGGGACGCGCGGAGCGACTCTTCGCCGTAAACCTCGCGGGCGACCACATCGTGAGCTTGTAGTAGGGCCTGCAATATTTAGGTACCTACATGTAATCTTTAATGTGACCCTTGTTGACTACGCTTTTAACATAGAAAGTTCGTATAATACCGTGCATAAAAAGCATAAAACCCAAACCGTTATTAAATAAATCGTATAGAATAGAACTTATTTCATGGACAATTGAACTTACATCAATTGAAAGATTAGAGTAAACAGTCAGTTTCAAACTTTAACTTTCCCATTGTTGTCCAATATTGGAAAGTGCTGTTCAATGTACATTATAACTTTATACCAATTGTAGACTCAAACAATTTCAGGAACTGAACGGCGTCAGGTCATCGCAGCCCGCAGGTATCGTAAAATCGGCCGAGATTAATTTTTCCCTTTTAAAATGTGGCTCTCTATAGCCAACAGAAAATTTGAAATACTGTGAAATTCAAATTTTCATTTTGTTCGAGTGTCGATAAGTCGAAAAGAATTTTCCATGTATCTGTTACAATTTTTCTCTTTTCAATTTTCGATTTAGCGTTTTGGCAGGCTTCTCGACGCTGATAAAATCTGAGGTTTCCAATATGGTTGTGGATTACCCGCGAAATATGCTCGTGCTCAATCGTGCAGATTGCATCGAAAATGCTATTAGTCGCTATTATTAAGTATATCGAGGATAGTTTTGAATAAAATGATTTTTTTTAAATGCTTTTTAATAAAATCTAATTCTGAATATAAGCTAGATTTTAAAATTCCATAAAAAGCTCAACAAGACTGCTTTGAAACGAATTGAAAACAGTAACAAGCACGAGTTCAGTAATCTTTTTAGGAATTCGCATTGGTTTGGGCGTAATTGCACTCACAAATCGAATCTGAAAGAAAACCAGCTCAGTTCGTTGTATGTATCGTTCGCTTTTAACGAGGTTTTTGATGCTTTGATATTCCGATTAACGGATTCAGTCAGACCTTTGATGCTATTTCGAATTAGTCCCGAATAGATGAAAGGATAGTTTTCATTTTCATGATTTTGAACCGTGTGGTTTTTTAGGACAGCGATAGTTTTTTTTTGCATTGCAAAGCCTATATAATTGCTAGAAAACATTTGTTTTCAAACAATAAAAACACAGCATTAATGAATTCTCGCAGAATTTTTTAAAAGTATTTTTCTTAGAATTATTAACAAAATAACAGAGCACTCAGTAAGAGAAAAAAGTACTCGTGAAAATTCAAACAACGCAATGCAGTTCAACAAATTAAACTTGAACGAGAAAATGCAGCAAAAATTCGTATTGAATTCATGCGTGCTAGCAACATTGATCGGCGAAGTCAAGAATCAAGGCAATATTTATGAAGTATGAATTTATTTAAAACCTAAAAAAGTAGATATAAAATACTGTCTGTAGGTTACGCATACATGTAGCTTACAATAGTAGATATATTTTTATAAGCTATAGCTTATAAAAATATATCTACTATTGTATTGTAGCCCTATAGCAAGATACGTATAAAAATTGAGTAAAAATTACACAATTACGTAATCATTGTACTTTAATCAAGTTAAAATGTACGTACTCTTACGTTTTGTTTTAATTGCTTTAAAAATACAACATAAATATTTCTATAGCATTGTATGTGACAATTCTCACTCCCACTCCTATTCCCAAAAAGCCAAAGAAGACTTTTTTTTCCCTGTTCTTAAAGCTTAAAAAACCACGAATTTCCATACAAACTATCATCTCCTTTTTCAACTCCTATCAATCCTTTCTTGGCATTAAAGCCTATGTCTTTTCTCAGGCTATAAAATATCTTCATTAGAAATTAGTTCAATAGTTTCGGAGTTAAAGCCAGACAGACTGACAGAGTTGCTTTCGCATTTATAATATTAGTATAGATTGTGATATAAAAATAATCAAGCTTCACAAAACCACAATCACAAAATTATCGCCCTATCTACTTATACAATGAGCGCTTGAAAATAACAATATTGCAATGCAGAGGCGTTGGTTTAATTCTGTTACAAAACACCTTTATTCATATGCTAATTGTACATTGTGTTTGTACAGCATTTCCGTTGCACATCTTGAATTTCAATATTTTCAGCTCATTTTCAAGTAAATATTAATCAGGGAAAACGGATACTGAAGGAAACACTTTACAATTTAGATCCACTGTGTTTTATATCCACTGACAGTGAATATAATAAAATGTATATTACAGTCAGTTTACGCAGATGAAAAAGCCTTGATGTTTAATCGCGATTCGGTTTCAGTCTGTGGATTTCCGAATATCCAAAGCCAAAATAGGTCGATAGCGCATCTTGCTTAGATGTTCTATTACTGGGGGTATTTCACGTACGATAACGGGAACCTCAACTTATCTATCCTCCTTTATATACAAAAAAAAATAATTGACTATTTTTAAATTTTTTATTGTTGAAGTTAAAGATATTGGGTGTATGCAAGTTTTAATAATACCTCGGGCGAAAGAGGATGGTGATAAAAGCCAAGATAAAGTTGCAGTTTCATAACTTTCAAGCACATCTGCCCTTTTTTCTTTTTCGACACCCATTCATACCTCTTTTAGGCACGGTATACTTGAGCAGACTACAAGTACTCTCGATAGACTGCTGTACAAAGCGAGTTTGTCACTTTGCCATGTATCTTTGATAAAAAAGAGCGTTCATACGTCATTGGCCTCCGAAGTTCTAACAACCTTGTTCACAGGCGCGTGAAAAGGTTATCATTATATTCATTATTTCGCCCCATTTCCCCCAATATTAACCAAGATAATATAATAATATTCTAAAGGGTATTTACATATCTTAAGCAATAAACACAAGAATTGAATGGTAGAAACGTTTTAATAGACTTGAAACAATAATAACTCACTCATAAACAATACCTTGTAGCGAACATATCTCTGTCTCTTACTACTGCGCGACCGAATTTTAATGTTTCTTCGTGCTTTAAGCCCAACCTGGGTTTTCGCTTATTAGTCAATGTATCTGCATCTTAACACATACAACTATGTGTATGTAAACAACATCTTAACACATAAAACGATCACTGAGTTTGCCAAGGATAGTTGTGCATGGAGAGTTATTCTCGATGCATGATATGAAAGATTCACGTTGATATAATAACGAATCAAAGCATCTGTCTACGATGTACAAATCAACGTAAACTTCATGCTACCTTGAACAATGCCTTCATTCGCATCGGTTCATCATCATCAAAACGCATCACTGGTAAAGCTCCAAGCTATAGTGCTAAGTGCTGATAAAATGTTCATTAAAAGTCAACTCGACTAGTTTTCAGAGATTTATTCCGCCGCGTTATCGTACACATCTCCCAGATATTTAAGGACGTGATCAGAATTGTTTATCACCCGAAATGTGATACTTTTCATTCCTTTATTTGTGCAAAGGAGAATATTTGAATGTTAACAGACTTATTTACGACGGCGAGGCTTTCCTACGAAAATCCTTTCGGCACGCATACAGATGTACAGCGTGGAAATCTTATATTTTCCAATCCCCCGGGTGATTTATAGGCCAGAATTTAACGAACAATTGAGTAAATTGGCAAAACTACCTGAGCATAACCTACGGTACTGGTAACACTTTATCTTAACGATTCAGAGCCTTTCTTCATAATATTTCAGCCGTTCGAAAAGTCGTACTTTAGAAACGGGAAAAAGTTATTGAATATTTCCGAGCGAAGACGTGATCGAGTTTGTAAGTACCGTGTATAGTCGTTCGAATTCACAATAGCAGGGACGAGAATTATTATGATTAACGCTACCTGGCCAATGCTATCTTAATTTATTTCTTTTGGGTAAAAATATTTCCAACACAAAAACTATTTTTTTTTAATAACGAATTCGTCATCATCAACAATTCTGTAATTGTATGTTAGCGATATGAAAACAATACGTTTGGGGTTATACTAAAAATGTATTTTATTTACAAGAACGTAGTTAATCAGACTTTTGTGTCCTGTCCGACCGAAAAGATCACCGATTGCGTATTATGCGATTTAACAAGGATACACATTATTCGAGAAAAAACAAGTCAAGTTAAAAAATATGGGATATTAAAAAATAAACAATATCTCTGATTGCAATGCAACGTCAACATATGTCCCTGCTTAATCTGTAATCGTGCAGATAATTGCATACATACATACAATTATATGCTCCAGGTTTGCGTTAACTGAGTATTCAGCACTGGCGTTTAATTAGATCAACTGTCTGAAGTGTACATTCTGGGAAACGTTCGGCGTTAAACAGGATATTATAATGCCTTGCCAATTAAGACTACAAATCATATATCAATCAGGTACTTATTAAATTACGAACAATTAGACAACTTTACAACTATGTACATACTTTAATTAAAAATCGATTATAAATTGAAATAATTACGACTCGGGCAGGACTTAAACCCGTACTGCTGCTCTAACCCAATTGAGCTACTGAGTTCTAAATGTCGTCGTAATGAACCTTCCATCATGTACCATAATAACGTGAAAAATATTAAAGTTTTAAAACTATATACATAGATTTCATTTCTATTTTTGCCATTTTGTAAATAGCTTCTTAAAGCATACCTTTGAAGGTGTAGTATCTTCAAAGACAATGAAATAATCAGCTTCGTGCTGTTTAATCTTGGAGACAGCTTTTAAATTTTTAAGAGGGCTTAAGCTTGTACAAAGCTATTAAAATGTTGGACCTGGTGGGGATCTAACCAAAATCCGTTTATTATTAGGCTTACATTGCTACCATTACACCAACAAGAGAAACTTGTATACTCAGTAACTCGCTCCATTGTGACTATTAAGTGCGAGCATAGTTCATATTCAGTACAACTTCGTCAGGCAAACCGACCGCATCAAATATTAACTTGAAAATCGTATTACTTAACTTTACTTCTGGGTCAGCCTCTCAGCGGCTATAGTAGTGTAATGGTGGCAATGGACGGCTAATAATCAACGGGTGATGTGTTCCACCGGGTTCAAATATTCTAATCAATTTTTTATTTTTTCAAACATGTTAGCCAGCCTCTGGAAATCAGGATATTAAATGGGAGGAGGGAATATGGAAATTTCGTTCCCGTCACCACCACCGTCCACAGATGAAAGAGCTGTGAAGCCGTTTTGGTTTCAGTCTGTGGATTTCCAAATATCCAAAGCCAAAATAGGTCGATAGCGCATCTTGTTTAGATGCTATGGGCTAGTGTATTTCGGCTACCATCAAGTACCTACCAATTAAAAAAAAAGTTCTAAATAAGGTTCTGAGGTATCTGACGACTCTTAGTAGAATGAATATTGCTATCGCTATTACGTACAAAGTCGTAAATTCAGTGGTTACGTGCTTGACTAGCCATGCTTAGATTGCAGACGCGAAATGCAGTAGAAAACAAGCGAGGCTATAAGCGCTGCCCGTTTGATGTATAGGTGTGTGCGCCGCAGGCGTATGACGTCGCATTCATCCCGAAGTATGTTGTGTCTCCATGATTTGGTTAGGGTCTGCCTGTGTGTGTAAAAGTTCCAACAACTATCAGGTTTTACAATATTACTTCTTACTTAACTAGCAAAGTATAAACAGAGAATTTTGTCTTTGATGTCAATATATTTAGTAGCTACTAGCTGTGCCAGCGACTTCCTCCGCGAGAATCGTTATTTTGGGCATCCAAATAAGTTTTTGCAAACCCCGTCATCTTTATAAACTTAATGTTAGCCACAACGTTGATCGTGTCTCTTCCCGTCGTTCTTGCAAGTTAATCTTAAAAGATAGATTTATAGCGTCGCGGACTTTTTTTTAGATCAAAAAGGGAAATCATTCTTTCATACACAATTTTTAGGTATAGGTATTAGGTATGAAGAATTTCGTCCATTTTGTTCACATATCTCGCTGTATCTTCGCTCCTATTCGTGACATCGCAATGTGTTATAGCTTTCCTCGATAAATGCTCTAACCAACACAAGGAGATTTTTTAAAATTCGAACCCGTACTTCCTGAGATTAGCGCGTTCAAACAAAAAACTCTTCAGCTTGTATTGCATATTAGTATAGATGAGTTTTTAATTTTTTTTATATGTAAATTAAAAATTTCAGGTTTTAAAAAAATGTACAGCGTTCCGAACCAATTGACACGGTAGCTAAAAATAATTTTCAAACAAGTTTCTGTACTACTCGCGTCAACTGCAGACAGTATTTAACGAAATTTCATTTTTTTTACTTTCTTGTATTACTGTAAGTCATCGAGATTTACATAGCACTAAAAGCCTAAAGCTCACACAAACCAATTGTGATCAATCTAATCAAAATACCCGCACACCCAATAGCAACAACACTTAATCCTTCAAAGCTCTTCTGTCAGAAAGACCGCTCGGATCTAGATCTATTTACGTTAACAGCCTTCGTTTCTCTTGGACACTTGCTAAAACTGATTCACTTGGTGGAATCGGGATTACGTTGTTTATCCCGCCCGGAGCCAATGAAAATTTCGTAAGAGCATTTCGCAGACTGCTTTTTCTAGGCTTAATTCTTAAACGAGTTCCATCACGGCGAGACCTAACTATATGTATTGTGAAAATATTGTAAAAAATTCGTTTTATAACCTATTACTTATACAGTAAAGTAAACCGAAACAAGATCAATAATTTTAGATCCACATTGCAAGCTTGCACTGTTGACAGGCTAGTTGTAGTCATTAATGACAGTTAACGGGTCATGGGTTCGTTTCCCACCGCGTCCAACATTTTTCTAATCATGAATCATGTTTTTCTGAAACATGTTGGACATTGTCTGGAAATCTGGATATTAAATGGGTCCAAAGATGATAAAACCATCAAGTTTAATCGCGTTACGATTTCAGTCTGTGGTTTCAGAAAGCCAAAATGGACGACAGCGCATCTTCTTGAAATGTTATATGATATTTCATCTACCATCAAGGGAACATACCATCCATGTCTGTCCTCCTCTATCATAAAAACTCAACATATCTATGTCCGAACGGGGGTTCAGATCCCGGTCGTACAACAAATAAATTATCTTTGTGGACATTGTCGAGTTAAAGAAAAACATCATAAAACACATGTATAAAAAATTCGACATCAATATTCACCACGCACTTAGCCAGCATAGTATATCTCTCCGCTAGTGGTTTATTGTAACCTCCAATGTATTTTCTTTTGAAAAATACATTGAAACGCCCTTAATATATCGTCTATGACGTTTTGTCCAGTAATAAGCCATTGCTGTTCAAATACAACAAACAATGTGATTTATAGTTCCAGTTAAACCAAAGCGATGGATAAGTTAAAGCAACAAGAAAATACAGTACCGGGTACGACAAACGAAACATCGCTTTTGTATTATTACAAACTTTAAAATGATGCATATTGGGAGCGTTGTGACGTAGTTTAGAAATATACATATACTTATCTATTTATACTAATATATAAAAACGAAGAGTTTGTTTGTTTGTATATTTGAACGCGCTTATCTCAAGAGCTACAGGTTCAAATTGAAAAATCTTCTTGAGTTGAGGAATTGAGGAAGGCTTATAAAACATCGCCTTGTGACTAATATGTCACATCCCCGTGACAAATACAATTGGAAGAATAATAATAATTGACACGCTAGTTTGGATTTTTTTTTTCTAATTTATATATTTTTTAATTTATATAATTTTTGACTTGTTGCACATGTCAAAAATTACATAAATTAAAAAAGTAATGACTAGCGCAGGTCTTGAACCGGCGGCTCTAACCATCGCGAGACGTGCATTAATAGGTTGAAAAAATTCGACGATGGAATAGGACTCAATTGGTTAGAGCGATAACAGGGGACGCTATGGATGCCGGTTCAATTCCTGCCCGAGTCGTAAATTTTTTAATTGATTTTTAAGTAATGTAGCGAGTATTTGAATTTTTGGTATTAAACGTTAAGTCCCTAATTGTATGTTTTGGTGGCAGGCATTTTGATAGATATCCTATTGTTTCTGAAATCCACTTCATCATCGCGACGGTAGTTAGCCACAACTTGAAACGTTAATGGATTTCACGTCCGACACTGTATATTCCTTTAGATTTAGTACCTATGTTTATGTACAGCGTAAATACGACATAATCTGTGTTAATTATAATTTATTTATTTACAAGTTTACCAACATTCATTACATAACTCACGCGGCAATTAATTAAACAAACAAATTAATAAGTGAAATGTAATAAACA